TATTTTCTCACTTGAATAACAAAAAAATGTGATCAGTGATAGAAAAAGTTCCTTAGCATACTTTCTGCCTTTATGTTACATATCCATTTAAATAAGATTTTTTTCCTTTTATGGCAATTGAATTGGTTACCTCAGAATTAGGCTAAACTTGATTTTGTGTTGCTTTTAGTTTTCATATGTCATATTAAATTAATTCTATGATGTTGTCATTAATTTCATAAAAGTGCAAGAAATAAAGTTAATAACTTGCTCTTCACTGAATAGTTAGAACACAGAAGAAAAAACACAGTAATAATGCCACCTTCCTCCTTTTCCTCTCTCATATTTCGATATGTTTCTATCAGTGCCCTAAAAGTCAGATCTTACTGGTTTGTATCACAGCCTAGGCAATAGCTCACTATCTGTACTGATTTTCTGTACCTTGGTAATCAGTTTTCTTCCAGTCTTTCTTTCCTCACCTCACTTCTGAGAAAGTACGCCAGACTACACGATGCTTATTACACGGTGCTCTTATCTCCAAGCAAAGCAACCAAACCTGAGTCAAACATTTGGCAATTGAATAACAACAGGAGGACTGAAAATTACATTTTAGCCACAAACTATTGAGAAACGCCTCAAGTTCCTCAGAGAGTTCGCTTTGTTCACCTCTCAAAGATGTCCTTGCTAAACTTTTCTTTTTCTTCTCCAGGAAGCACGGAACTGAAAGCTGCTAGAGAGGAAGCTCAAGTATTAAGAGGGCTTATTCCACCTCACTAAACCCATGTGAACCCCAAGAACACTCAGACTTGCAAATTTAAAGAGTCAGGGGGAGTTCAGAGGTCAGCCTCTTGCTGTGAACATAGATGGTTCCAACAATGAAGGGTAAAAAAATACAAGTTCTCAGTGATTAAGGCAGTCTGTGCGATACTTTTTGGAGAGAACATCTATTTTTTTTTTATTAATCCTCAGTACCAATCCTAGCTGGTACTTTCCAAAATAATGTCAGAATGTCACCTAGCGATCTCTCACCAGCCTTTCTTTTACAGGTCCCACTCTGGAGCTAAAGTAGAAATTTGAAATTGTGCTACAATAAATATTTTACTAGTACCTTATTTAGACACTGGAGGAGATGTGAAAGTGGCCAGCTTGTTCTCAGGGATATTGCATCCCCTGCTTTTCCTACTGTTTTACAAATCAGTTCAGATCACCTTTCTTCTCTAACTACTATGAGCAAATCTCTGAAGTATCCTCAGAGGTTACATTTCCTTAAGAGTGTTGATAATATCAGCAAAACATTGCTCTAAGAGTCGGTCAGCACTGAGACAATAATGTCTGTGAATGTCACAAGAGATCATTTTACATTGTCAAGATGCTGGAAACAAAAATGCAGGAGAAGACTGTGAATGCTGCAGTGCATTAAAATTACAAGTCAAGAGAAGAAAAAAATATCAGTGCAAGTCATTAGAAAACATATTACACTGGCCTGTGACAAGTGTAGAACAGCGCTGCCTCGAATCTTTGGTGATTATAAAGACAATGTGGTGATGATAGTGACAAAACAAGCTGAAATGTAATTCTGCAGTAATTATGGAAAGCAACCATATTATCTGATGTTCAGCCCCTGCTTAGCTGCCAAAGTCCCTGCCCGTCACCCACACTCTTTACCTTTTAACACTGGCTGCACATTGGACAATTTTGAACTTTTCCAGGTTGCTGTTAGAATTCCACAAACGCCTAAATTTCAATAGTGGATGGTTTAAAAGCCCTCAGTATAAGGAGATGATTGCCTCCGTCTTCCAGAGGGCTGAGTTCTTTTGTAACATCTTGAGGCCAGGGACAGTGATGTTAATTACAAACTCCCCCAAGGCAGAGGACAAGTATCTTTTGTCAGAGCACATTTTAACCCTGGGCTCTCCACGCTCTTCTCATCACAGCACAGGGGGACCAGGGCTCAAATGTGCTTTTAACCCTTGTGCAGGGGATGGGCACACTCTCCCAACAGCTTTCTGTTGAAGCAAAGCTTTTGTTTTACAAGTATTATTTAAATAATCAGGCTAGAAGGAGAAGAAACAAAGAAGATAAGCTTATTTTATTGCAGGGAGTACTTGGCTTAAAATCACTGGGTCTCCATTCCTGAGGACTAATATAAAAAGCATCAATTTTTCAAGCATAAATCCTCCCACCCGCATGCCCAAACCATGAGGACAGAGGCAGAGATCCTTTTGGTGATTCTCCGAGCACCATGACACAAGTGTCCCTCGTGACACCGTTGCCCTTCAGCAGGAAGGAACAGAGTGCCTCTTGGGCACATCTCCTAGGGCTCAGGAATTCGAACATCTGAAGCTGCAGTTAGTGTTTGCTCCCTGGCTTGTGAGCACCGGAATGGTTAAAGTTATTTGACAAAAAGAAATTTCCTGAGGTCCTTAGAAATCAACTAAAAGCTCTACACCCCAAATGGATGGGTAGGTTTAATTTTTGGTCTGTAGTAGGAACTCATATCCCAGGGAAGGAAGGGACCTCATGCTTCTGGACCAGCTTTGCACTCTTTTACCCTCTCCTTACTATCAGCCTGTGAAACTCAGGCCCTCAACACAGGCCTGACCTGGGATAAACTCATAGCTGAGGTTTTGCAGTGCCTGGAGACTCTCTGTGTGTGCACATATGTGCACTGTGCCTCATGTGGGTTCATACAGAGCCTTTTGGGAAAGCTTAAGTGTTGTAAAATCTGTTCTGAAAGTATGGAAAATACTTGAAGTTAGTTGATCATTTGTTTCTCATAAGGATCATCTTAGCAGGTCATAGTGAAATAGGCCAATATATAAATCAAAACAAATACATGGCACAACAAATTGTTATTTTGAAAACCTGTTTTAAATATGTGCATATTTTCAGAAGACTGTGTGGAATTAATTCGGCAGTGATTTTACATAAACAAGCAGCAATTGCCATTAGTGTTAATTCTAGAGTTCTTTTATATAATATTAACTTGACTATGGGAAAAATTTGAACAGCAAAAAATATGCCTTATTGAATGATCAGCAAATAAAGAAAAAATGCATTTGTTCATGGTTTTCTGTTCTCACAGAAAATAAGTGTATCTGCTCAGAATTAAGTAAGAAAGAAAAAGATTAATCACAAATGGAAGTAATATATAAATCACTTCACCTGCTGTTCTCTTTCTGGTTCACTACAGTTCTTGGCTGCTTCCATGTTATTCAGCATGTTCTGAATGCCAGTTAGTGCATTATGAAATCTCATCCTCCCAAGAGACTGAACTTCCACAGAGCAGATGGAAAGAAGAGAGGAAAAAAAGGAAAGAGCAAGGATGTAGGGTCCAATCTCTAATGTACAATCAAAACTACCAAGAGGCTATTGCTGTCTTGGAAAATTATTACAATATTTTTTCAAAAGTTAATAGCTCCTGTCAAACTCAAGTATTTTTTTTTTCTTTTTTGTTTTTTAATGATACAGTGCATGTCTCTGCCATCGCAGTTTCAGTATTTTTGTCCACACTCTGTCAGGATTTTATACTTTTACATTGATCAGATTTTTAGGTGCCAAGTAACCAGGTGCAAAGATCTTCTATGAAGTAATCCTTCCTGTGGGACAGAAAGTTTTTATAAGGCAATGTTAGCGATCAGGACACAGTTACAATTTCCTAATACTGTTGTTTCTTATGGACCTCGCTGGGGTCTAGTGAGAGCACAGCATAAAAAGCCACTGTGTCTCCATACGAGGTGTTCTGAAAAGAGCTTGGAGTTGTTTTGCAGGTGAATAAACTGTCCAAGCTTCCCAGCCACTTTCTGCCTTATTGCTGGCTTCTTGAAATAGAATTGAGCACTGTGGAAATCAAAAACCTTTCCTGAGTTTAGATCTTTGGGAACTGTGTTTTTTTTCAATGTCTTATGACCAATTAGTCATTTACATAGATATTGAGAATATTTGTGACTTTGAAGTTCCTGGGACCCTGGTTAGCAGAGTACTTGTATTTCTTCCTTGCTAATGAGATGGACAAGTTTTGACAATAGAGAGAGTATCTCTGTCCTCAATGTACTAATTTCTATGTCTTCAGGCTACTAATTTCTTATTTCTAACAATAATCCAAGCTTTATGAAGTCTGCAGATACCCAACATCCTCATGTTACTCGGATGTGAGGACTTAAACTGTGCAAATTCAGAGTTCATACCAAGGGCTGCCATAAAACAGAACTCATTCTTTCACAAAGAAAATGTATGGGTTTTTTTTCACAAACTTTTATAGCTGAAATGTAATGAGGGAGGAAGGGGGCTGAGGAAAAACAGGGGAAGACTCTGGCCTTTAAAGTTCAGCCCCAGGAACTTCAGTCATGGAGGTTAAAGACAGATTAAAAGACTGGGCAGAGTTAAAGACCAGACAATCCTCAAATTGTTTGTCCTTGTGAATGGTGTTTATAAAATACTATGTTATATGGTCTACATTTTTTTGCTTCTTTGCACTGACTAATCTGAAGTTTGTAGCCATTGAAATGATACCATTAAAAAGGACAGAGACCATGCCTTCAGCTTTGGAGAGATGTCACCATTTATACATACTTGATCAATTTTGATCTCAACATGCTATCTTTAGAAACAAGAAAGGCCATGAAGAATTTTGTGTGGGTGAAGAGGAAAGAATATTGGACTCAAGATGTGCCTTCTGGAATGCAAAGAGAAACCTACCTTCAGAATTTCAAGGAGAGAAAAATAGCTAGCCTTGAAAACAGAAAGTAAACCCAAGTGCTTTGCAACGCTCGTTCATTTGTGATATTTTTCCTTCCCTTCTCTCAGTTAGAAATGATAGTTCTTTAACTTCATCAGTATCGAGAGAACATTGAGGGTTGGTTGTTTAGTCTTTTTCATTTTCTTTACTATTTAAATCAAACACACTTTTTTTACTGTAGCAAGTAAACATCAATAACTGATTTACATGTAGATGTAGGCTTACTCTATTTTCTCTCCATCTAAAGTATCTTTTGGCTTTTTCAGCAGGCTCTGGGCCAACAGCAGAAACTTGAGAGAAAATGTGGGCTAGGAATGGCCAGGGGGTAAGTTTCTACAGGGAAAAAAAATCTTTCATTCAATGCAGTCATGTTTAGATAATTTTTTCCTGGAAAAATGCTCCTATTGCTGTCATGAGTTAACAGAATTCCATCATTATGAGGATACTCTCTGGTGTGATGGCAGTCACGAGAAACCCAGGTGAGGAGATATATTATATCTAGAGATTACTGATGTACCCTTGAGATAAACCATTAGTATCAACGTCATTTAGTAGTCTTGAAAAGCAGTAGGTTGGTAAGCCAAGAAGGTCTTCTAGCTTTCAATAGTCCAGCTTCATGCAAGACTTGACCTGTTGAACATGATTCGAGGATACATGCCAGGATACACAAGTGAGATAGCTGTTTGCATCATGTCTGTGACATCAAAAGAGGTGTAGGCACTGAGTTCTAGCTGATTCCATCTATGTCCAGCAGGAGAAGCTTAGATACCAAGACAACTCCAAGGTTGGGACACTCAAGCAGATTCTGGGATCTTCCAGAGTTCGTCTCCTGTTGAATGGGTGCTCTGAGAGTCTGGGTATCTAACTACATTAAGAATCTAAACCTAGTCTGTTTTTCTTTCTCTAATCATGGTTTTCTTTTGTTTTATATTTTCTCCTTGTCCTGCTATGATGTGACGTGGTAAGTTGCCCTTATAATCCACCACTGCAAGTCAGGTCCAGATTCAAGCCAGTAAAAAACGATGTCTCCTACCGAGTGCCCACACACTCATACCCTTTCTGAAAATGAATAAATGTATGTTGATAGGTTTGATAGTTTGGTTGTTTATTTTTCTCCAAATTCAGCTTCTACCTGGAGAAATGACAGTTGCATTTCATTCTGCAAGGGCCCTTTTAAGTCCATATTTTGGTGTGACCACCTGACTACAGGGAGAGAACAATGACCTTCTCCTCTCTTTCAGCACTGGGAGCACTAAGCTCTTTTCAAATGCTGTAGCATCCAAATACTGTGCTGCCTCGTTTCAAGTTAAGTATGTGCTTAAATATATTACTGTACTGAGATTCAAATGATGAGTTATTTTAGCATAGCTGTTCCTCAGCCAAGTTATTTATGAGCCAGTAATATCCATGGAACAGTACAAGGCCTAGAATAAAGTCCATGTAATGAAGCATTTATAATGTAGACACAAGCAAAGCTAAGAAAAGATACACACCAAAAAAGAAGTTATTACCACTGTCACTCACAGATGACAAGTTGAATCGCTGGGTTGCACTTGAATGTGGACTAAATCTTAGCAAAGTTAGCTGGAATTCTCTGACTTTTGTAAATTCTCTCCCCTTAGGAGTCAGTTCTGTGCTGTTATCCATGGTACCAAAACGCACTATTTTGGGTCACTTTCTTGAAAACAGCAGCTTTCCTAAGTGTTTTGTCTCTATTTGAAGTATTTATTTCTTTTTTTAACCCTTACTTTTCAGTAACTGCATAGGGTCTGGATGTCACTGTGCTGAAGACAAAGGTGACTCGTGTCCTCACGTGATGACACCGTCAGACAGACTGACAGACAGAGGGGAAGCATCGTGGTGTGATCTGGGATTCACAGACAGCTCAAGCCTCATCACTAAGCATAATCTCAATATTGGGAGAACCGTGAATGCTGTTCAACCTGTATTATTCAATTTCCCTCTCACCTAAAGTAAAGGTAATCCCTGTCTCCATGTTAGAGTTGAGATGGAAAGATTGGGATGCTGATAAGGGAAGGTTCAGGGTGGAGTTTATAGCACATGGACAGTAAATATGCTGGCTTAAGTCTGGCCAGGAGCTCAAAGAACAACTGCTTCCAGGAAATATTCACTTCATTGCCTTTTGGGGATAACAAAGGATTTTTTAAAAAATGGAAGTTGGGTTCTTATAGTCAGATATGACCTCCAATTTCTTGTTCATTTCCAGCTGTTTGGATCCATATGAAGCTTCTCAAAACAGGTCCCACCCTGATCTAGTGATCTCAGCACCACCGCCAGGTTCTTTATTTACAGACACGGTACTGCATCTAACTGAAAAAGTGAAGCATTTGTGAGTATCAGTCCAGTGATTTCTCCACCAGGGACCCAAAAAACAGAGCCCAGCACAGACCAAACACTGCACATAACTAGGCAAGCAAATGGAGGCTGGGTTGCTATGTTACAGGAAGAGTGATTTGGTCCTGATTTCCAACTTTTTAAAGGCATGTTTGGCTACTGCAGTGAAACACGCTAGCCTGAATGCTGCAATGTTTCTGTCACTCTCTACAGCGAACCCAGAATTCCGGGTGTTACAGCCTGCCTGAAAGTGGCACTCTCCTCCAGACATAAAAGCATTGACGGTTAAAAATCTGTTTGGAAGTTCCCAGGCATGCTCATGGGTAAGTGAGGAAGTGGAGATTGTAAGCAGCCTAAGGGAAAACTTGCAAAAGAATGTTGTACGGAAGTTCTGAGGACACCCAAATGTGGGGCAGCCAGGAAATTCAAGGTTGAGGTTACTCTTTCAATCTCTCCCAGGTTTCTGCAAGTATGAAAATGCAGAGATAAGGCAGCGTAAGCAGTTCTAACGTCGCCTCAGTTATGAAGCCCAAAGCAAACAATCCATATCACATAAATACAGTACTACAAAAGTCATGACTAACTGGTAGGTTTTCAAAAGTCCTAATAATAACAGGTAGCACTTTGCATGCATAGACCAGATATCCCACCACACTGTGAGTCAAGAGCTTTTAAGTCTTTGCTGTCATTTTGGCTCCAAACTGCTGAAGCAGACTCCACGTACTCTCCTTAGAGGATCAGATGCTCTAGGGAAAGCACATGGTCCCTGGAGCTTGGAAGGGGACACGGTGTCACTATGAGCTTGGCATGCATGCTGCTGCCACTTTTACCAGGCATGGCCTACAGTAAAGAAATGTGAATTTTTTAGGAAGTTTTTTCAATAGATACCTGGGTGGAGACCTCATCTCTTGTTTGAGTTGCAGTGAGTGATAGAAACCTCATCTCATGTTAGACACCTTTGGTAAAGCTGCTGAGACATCTGTGTTGGGATAGTCATCCAGGTTGGAGGTACAGGCATTGGGAAGACATGGGTGCTTCTGGGGAATGAATCATCCTATCTGGAAGTAAACAGCTGAAGTAGGTCAGATGAGTCACAGGCTGGAATGCCTGCTTTCTCCCGGCTGAGCATAAAGAGTCTTCATTGAATGGCTCAGATGTAGACATCTGCACTGCACACATCTAGCCTTAGGTGAGATGAAACCAACCCCAGCTATTATGCATCTGCAAACAGTGTCAGGGCTGGATTTTTCCAGCCTGTGAGATGTTTTGTGTAGTTCTGTTTCGATGCAAAACATAATGCGGTTCTGAAGTTTTCCAGTTATTTCTCTGAACTGCAGAAGAGAAGTCCTGACAGCTCCAGTATTCAGCATAATACAAAACTCATGGCATCCTCACCCCGAGGAGCTTCTACCTGCCTAAAATGGAAGAGCAACAGCCAGGTAAACAAAACATGTTTTGGAAACATTTGTGTTATCATTATTATCTATTATTTGCACTTTAATAATTTTTAAATATCTTGGCTCTATTTAGCTAAGGAGTTCCCAAACACGGCAGAGAGATAGTCCCTACTCTGGAAAATATATAAGCAAAGTTTACAGCAGCAGAGATTTCAGGAGTAATGAGGGAACCCACAGAAATCAGGGATCACCCAGACAGGCAGGGATTACAGAATATCATCTGCAAGAGAGTCTACATCTGATCTACTCATGAAACTGTGAATTGTGAGTTGCTGCTGTGTTGCAGGGGGACACTGTGGCTACATCCAGACCTGTCTATACAGCACTGCTTCTACAGAATCAGCACGAGCTCTGTGATTCTGGGGTATCAACTATGTCTTCTGTACTTCTACTTCAGCAAAACTTTCCATTTAACAAGCCATTTTTTATGCATTTGAAAATTTAATGGAGGCATCACACTTTATCACGCTAAATTACTAAAATAAGCAATAATGTCATCATAGACTGCTCATACAGCCTGCTGGGTTCCAGCTGGTTGGTTACTGAGACAAAGAAAGACTGAGCATTAACAGACACTTTACTGAGTTGCAGTTTTAGAGAGAGATTTGACTTTGACAAATATCTCCTTTACATCAATTGCCTGGACTATTTTCAAAGAACCGAGGAAAAGTAAGAAATGAACAAGGAGTTGCAAAGTACTGGACTGAGTTATGTTTGCTCAGATGCAGCCACATTTCACAATCCCTGATATTTTCTGGGAATAATTTGAGAAAAAAAAAAAATAAAATCTGGGCTTATTTGCATGCTTAATTTTTCTGCAAGGCGATCTTCTCATCTCCCATCTATATCCCTGTCTCAGTGTCTTGTTACTTTTTAGCACACACAAAAAAGATCTGTATTAATGCAGATGGTAATTTTATTTTACTTATTTGCAGTTCATTACAATGTCATGTTTTGGGAGCATATTCATCTCTTTGCTAAGGCCCTTTGTGTTTCTGCTATGTATATCAGCTTTGTATAAAAAACAAGTGTGGGCACAGGTTATGCTAGCTGATCATTATTTTACCTTTTCTCTGTCAGAAACAGCATCATTAGAGAGAAAAAGAAACAGGAGAGTCAGTAACACTAGCCTGTTTTTTTTTTTTTGCCTGTGTATAGATAGCATAGGGTTCTGCAAGGGTCCTTCCTATAGAAAAACATATGGCGCTGTGAGGTATATAAACGCATAGAGAATAATGAACATATGCTGGTACTTTAAAAATAAATCTGTAAACCACTAATAAAATCAAAAGTTGTATGAAAATGTGAAGGTTGCAAAGTTTACCATGTTGCAGAAAGATACTTTTGACACACTGCTCTTATTAAATTTCTATAATGCTTAATTAGAAAGCTCTGTTTCATGCTTTCTGTAAAAAAAAGCTGAAGTTACATCATGGCATGTGTAATGCAATAGTAACAGGAAAAGATCCAGTAAGATAGCCTAAGGAAACGATTAACCGTATTCTTATTTGTAATAATCTGTGAGCAATATTGTCTCACAAAAAAGTGTAAACTAAAAAAGTAATTTAGCAGCACCTATTCCAGTCTTTGCTTTGGAGGTAGCAGTAGGCTGGAGCCAACAGGGGCACTGGAGGACATTCAGTAAAGGCAGTAAACATCTAATACAAAACTAAATCACCTTGCATCTCCTCCTACAGGTACCTCCACCCTAGCATTTGGGTTAGATTTTGGGTTAGACTTCCAAACCAGTCAGAATTCTAGTCCCCAAATTAGTATCCTGAGGCTCACGTATTACAGAGATAAGCACAAAACTGACACCTGGTCTCCAGCAGTGTTTGATGTCATCATAGAAATATTGGTGCTGGAAGTAGGAATCAAAATCTTTTCCTTCCGTCCTGAGCAACTTCACTGTTTGGCCAAACAACCATCCCCTCTCATCAGATAAATCTTAGCTTCTGTTGTTTGTGTTGAACAACTTGGACGGGGGTGACCACCGACGTGCTCATCTCATAGACCAGGCTCGTGATTTGGATAGATTTGTGAGAAACACGAGTTTGCATCTGAGTCTGCCACTGCTTATTCTCATCAGCAGCTTATTTTACCAAAGGACCAGGTGTTATCCAGTACCAGATCCACCACAGACCCATATTTTCATGTAGGACTGCTGGGCTATTTGTCCAGAGTAGATGGAGCAGCCTGTATACCACATGCCCTCCTGTCAGTACCCTTCCCAACACTTTTAGAAAGTTGGAAAGTGGGTTTAAGCTGCTCATGGAACTGCTTTTTCATGAGTACCTAAGTTTGACCACGAGCTCCATATGGTGGCCAGATATTTTGTATAGGATTCTGGATTCTGCTCCAGACACCTGACATCTAAAAAGCAGTTACTGGCAGTGTGTATCTTCCTCTTTGGATCTTGTCGTCTATGAATATTATATATGCAAAGAAATAGGGTTACTATACATGATTCATGATCAAGGATTTGTTCTTACTAATCATAGGTAGGAATCCTATTTGTTTCATGGAGAAAGGGCAGAAATTGAGGAGCATTGACTATAATGGAAATAAACTTACTTCTCTAATTTGGTAGAATACTTCTTGCGTGTTGTTAAAATATTAGAAGATTATTGCAATTTTCTCAGTAAGTGGCTACCACCTTTGTAAGAAGCTGTCATGGAAATGAAAAAAATACACAATCAAACAAAGAAAATGAAAGCTACATATTACAAAACATTGGAAAAATATGTTTTCGTTTGTAAGAAGCTGTCATGGAAATGAAAAAATACACAATCAAACCAAGAAAATGAAAGCTACATACTACAAAACAGATTGGAAAAATACGTTTTCAGGGATCAGTTTCTAGTTGCTACATCCTAAAAATTAAATCCTATAGTACAGAATAGTACTATACCTTTATTTAACAGTGCATGAAGACTGTGAAAGTACTGAAAGAGGACAACAGGTCTAATAACAGTCTACTGTCACCTCCCTTGAATTTTATGCCTAATGCTCTGAGAACACAAACTCTGAGACCCTGAATTCTTGAAGACAGGATTTCCAAAACTGTGCCTTTATGCTACTCCTCTCTTCACTTTTTTTGAAAAGTAAAGCAGAAAGAATGAAACATAGAAGTGGTGAATGCAAAAGTTGAAGTCATGATGAAACTATGTTTGGTATAACTTGTCTCTGCTTCTTCCACAGGTGAAGAAATAATTGACGTATCTGCTTCTAAGCCTGTGAATAAAATACAGTTATATTAAAAGAAAAGATAGCCAGTCAGCTATGTGGCTTCACAAATCCTGGATATGGAATGAACATTTCAAGGACAGTATATTTCTGGGGTGACAGAGGGTGCTCTGGGGCTTGCACATTAACTTAAAAGCTGTACTTCCATAAAAACCAACCAAAAATAAACAGTTTCCTCTACTTTCTTTCCATTTATAGGAAGAAATTGTCATTGTAAAGTAAAAGAGTGGATCTTGAAATTCTCTGAAAGTCACTAGAGTACAAAAAACCACTCAAATTTTTGAAAAGGTATTTGTCTATCAGCTGGAAATGTCATATCTTATTCAAGACTGACAGTCATCTTGTGAAAACTGTAAGTACCATAGGAGATGATACAAAGCAAACATCCATTTTCTTTATTCTTTTCTCTTTCCAGTGTAAGACAGGAGAAAGCAAAAACACAGCAGAGGAATCTGACAGCAGGCAGGGTGAATCATTAGAGTATAATAGAACCTGGAATTGAGAAGATGTTAAATTATCTGATCTGCTCCTCTGCCAGGATCAGATTGTTTTCTAGCATATATTCCCTTGCAGTTGTTTCCAGTCTGGGTTTAGATTTCCATCACAGGGCCACAGGCTTCAAAGCTGTCATTTAGAAAGACTGCACAATTATATGCAAAAGCATACTTGATAACAGTAAGAAATAAAACATTAAAACCCAGAAGCTATTTGAAATGGTGCAAACTTCTATGTTTTGCTACAGAAAACAGGCAAAAAAGTGGAGAAATCCCTTCCTTTGAAATTCAAAATGGCTTAGGGCTGAGATCAGCTTAACTTTATCTGCACTTAGGAACTTTAAAAAGCTTATCCAAAGCTCCTCAAATGCCTGAAGAATTTGAACACTGGCCACTCTGAGATATATCTGTATCTCACACACATCAATACCTAGGGAACATTTCATCAGGGCTTTTCAAAGCTTACATCTTGGAAACATGCTGACTACAGTTGCCATTGGTACTTGAATCCTCCCACAGATCTTCTCTCTCAACTATAACTGAAGCAAGACAGAAAATATAGTAGAAGCTGATTATTCCATTATATCCTCCTGTTCAATGTTCCTTTGAAAATAGGGATACTGGCCACCAAATGAGGCTAGAAAAGTAGTTTGATGTGGCATGTGTGCTTCTACCCCCACAGCTGCTGGAGTTGCATTTTTTCTCCCAGGCAGCCCCCTCTGTTGCAATGCTGAGTGTAAGGATGCAAATCCAGGAGAAACTGAGGACTCACGGGGACCATATTAACAGACATCACAGAATCACAGAATCTTCTAGGTTGGAAGGGACCTTCAAGATCATCTTGTCCAACCGTCAACCTAACTGACAAAAATAGACACCCACACAACAAACAAGGAGCATCACCATCACTAAACCATACCTCCCAGCACTACATCAACCCGTCTTTTGAACACCTCCAGGGATGGGGCCTCAACCACCTCCCTGGGCAGCCCATTCCAATGCCTGATAACCCTTTCAGTGAAAAAATTTTTCCTAATATCCAGCCTGAACCTCCCCTGGAGCAACTTGAGGCCATTTCCTCTTGTCCTGTCGCCTGTGACTTGAGAGAAGAGACCGACCCCCACCTCTCTACACCCTCCTTTCAGGGAGTTGGAGAGAGCAATAAGGTCTCCCCTCAGCCTCCTCTTCTCCAGGCTGAATAACCCCAGTTCCCTCAGCCTCTCCTCATAAGACTTATTC